GATTTGATCCCGACCCAGTGGATGACTTTTCAAGAAGGCCACCTTGCACTTGGAAGATCTTGATTTCTATTCTTATTCTTATGCTCAAGGGTTTTTGATTCTGAAGAGTTTGAAAGTAAGACGAAGCAGTTGTTAAGTAGTCCTTGGTTTCCAGTGATCTTCTAACTGAAATCACTTCGTGACTTAAGTGAAAAGTTATATATATTGGGGCGAAAATTAGCGTGGTAGTATAATCGAAGTCTTTTGCTGGCAAAACATATTCTCAATGCAGCTTGTTTCCCCTGATATGCTGTTAACTGGAGAGAGAAAAAACAGTAGCCATTTTCAGCCAAAAGTGTTCATTTTAAACATGTTAATACCTTAAAAACACATTAAACTTCAAGTGATTTGTACCAAAAATGCAGTGATGTTAAAGCACAGTCCCAAATTCACAAGTGTCGATGAACAAGTCTTGCTAGTCTTTAACAGCAAGTGTTATTCAGAAACTTGCACTGTCTGTCACGAAAAGGATTTCCAACAGGTTGCAGACTTTCATCAACAGCTGCCTTCTCTGGCTCCATATTAAAGATAAAATGGCCAGCCGGTCAGAAAGAATAAGCAACAAGAAACTCTGGCTGGCAACAAACGAACAGGCGACAGCCGATCGCTCAATAAATATGTAGGAGAAAGTGGGGATGGATCGTGCATATATTGAGGTGGCCACCGAATGACATCGCACGCAATGCAGGGCATGGCTCGACTGGAACCCAAATGGGAAGTGACGAGTGGGTCGTCAGTGCGAGGGTGACACTAAGGAGATCGTATGAGGAAGAGATGAGAGAGTTTGGTCAATCGTGAACCTATCTGAAGAGGACGGTAGAAAACAGAACAAAGTGGAGATGTATTGTTGGAGCCCAGTGTTCCACTCGGAACACAAGGGAATGATCTATAATAATTTTTCCATCGTCCCGTCCAGTCAGTGCAATATCAAAGAAACTCAGCTTTTGATGCATTACGTACTCTGAGCTCACTCGAATATTTGGATGAATATAATTAAATAGAGTAATGAAATTTTCATTCGGCTCACTGTTTTCACCAATAATTAGCATACATCATATGACGTCCATACAGCGTAATTTTGCCTAACATGTTTTCGATTTCCTTCTGCAATTTAGATATCAATCACTAACAGGCGCCTAATAAGACTCCCCATTGCGACACCATCTGTTTATTATACGCTTTTTCTTGAAAATCCAATCTGATTTTTTTTGTACATATCCAGATAAAATCTCTGGTGTAAGTAACAGGTATACGCAGCTGTATTCCATTTCATGTGATATAATAGTAAGTGAAATCAAGCGTGTTGAGAAGCGGAACATCGGCAGACAAAGATCCTGTGTCTATTTAGCACATAACCTATCTTTAGTGTTTGTAGTATCTAGTATGTTGATAATATCTAGTGAATTTGTACGAAATGATTTCATAAGGAATCTGTTACAGGCGTAAGGACCCCTGTGACCCACTTGGTGATTCCATGATATGAATAATTTGACGTATTTAAGATGAGTCTTAGAGGGTTTTCAGGCTTGTGAATCTTTGAAAGGTCATACAACCGGGTTTAAGCTGTTTATAGATAATATCATAAATAAAAACTTTCCGTAGGTTTGAGCTGATGACACAAACAATAATTTTGCGTTGACTGAATTTATCTACCAGTTAGTTTCTATTTATTTATCTTATCATCTTCAAAAGATTAGTTTGCTTTGAATAAACAACTACTGTGTTAGGACGCTCGCCGAACATGCACATGGTCCGGGGTTCTATCCCCTGTCGACGCACTCCTTTACCTCGCTAATCCAGAAATAATGCTGGTGAAGAGGAAAGGTTGGGCATGAGGCTAGCAACCCCATCCTGTAAAATGAACACTACAACAGGAACTTCGTGTCACTAGCTTGAAGCCCTATGTTCCACTGGGGAACGTGAAGGAAGAAAAAAAGCTTAGACATTCGTGATTTAGCTAAGCACTTGTTAACAGGCGTCGAAAAAAAGAACTGGGAGAGTGCGTTTTTGCACTTCACTTTCTTTCGCATCAAATTATTAAATTCTGTTTTAAATGTGGTTAATACACACATCTTAGGTTCTTCTGTTTTTCGAAAGTAAATACTGGCTGAATGGCATCCGTATGTGAGATACTACATCTCATTTATTATCAGTAACATTATCAAGTCCACCGAATACTCAGCAGTATACGAAGTTGTTTATCAAGAAGTCTATGAAAGAAGCGATGTAGCGTCTAACACCTGTCTATCCTAAGCAAAACACTAAGCTCCATCATCCTGAAGGGAGTAAAAGGAGCTCCGGAACAGACTTGATTCAGGAAAAGAAGTTATGAGCAGATCAAACTGCGACAGTACGCATCGTCATGAAACAGGCCATAGAATAGCAGCTGAAACTTTATATCAACTTCATCGTCTTTGAAAAGCAATATCAACAGAATTAAACATGAAACGTAAACGTAGCAGTAGCTTCGACACTACTTAGTGAATTACCCTAAACATTCACATACCTCATTCAATAGCTACATTTTGGTGCTTCATTGCAAGTTATTTGCAACAGAAAACTCACTGAAGCGTTTGAAGTCAATGTAATGGTGTAGAAAGGCTGTAAACCGTCACCGATTACATTCCTGACAGTGATGGACTGGGTCATGCGGGAGACCATAGGAAGCGAGAAGGCGGATTGACTTTGGGCCTAAAAAATGCTATGGAATGTTGACTTCACAAATGATTTGTATCTCATCTTGTACAAACCAGAAAATGTATAAGTAAACTGGCCAATAATCAATAGTTTAACAAATATAAAGAAGCAGATCGACACAGACTGAACATAGACTGATATTGCACTTCAGGGGAGATGAGATAAAAATAAACAGGCCAAAGAGTGACATGGAGGATACTCTGTTGTGAGGCAATAAAAGCTTGTGAAAAAGGCCAAAGCCAGTTGAAAGGAAAGAATGAGAACTGAGTGGAATGGAGATTCACTACAGAGTACAGGAACGCAAAAAATGACGATTAGTTATGCCGATAATTAGGAAAACATACTGTATAACGCTTTTTTCAAAGTGACAGCTTGTATGTTGTGCAGCACAATTAACTTCAAGCATTCATTCCATCGGTATCCTTCGCATAGTGAATGAACACTCAATGATTCATTTTATTTTCTAATTTATTTAAGGGAATAAATATTCGGTTGACTGAGCAACAGTGCTAAATTCTGGACAATTTCAATTTTCCATAAACATTTATGCTTCAGCAGTTTCTGAGTTAATTGCTCAAGGAAAACAAACATAGTTCACGATGAATAGCTTTCAAAGTGTACATGCTTTTCTTTATAATTTGCTGATATAGTCATTAGGTGGACATCTTGGTTCTACACACCTTATGTGTAAGTTTTAGCGTGTTTGGGCTGTTGTTGTTAGTTCGCTTTATAGGCGATGAAGTACTTGAATTTTATTCCACTGTGATGCATCAAATTTTCATTTCTTATTTCTTTTTTAAAGTATTTAACGATGTCCCTTGTTGAATGGCAAAATGTAATGATGCACATTTTTAACTGGCTTTAACTGATTACCCTGAATTTATCAGAGGCGACAAAGGAGGAAAAATATCAGAAGAGATTGAATTCTGCTTCACATACTGAAACAGTGCATCCTTCGGTATACCTGTGGTGAGAGATGGTTGCTAGCCAAATTGGTTGACAGTAATTGAGGTCAAAGGTCAAGATGGACAGGCGGATACAGTTAACATATAGATGAACTGACAAGGCCACAAGAGATGCAAGGTTAACTTTGTGTGAGAAACAACCAATCAACAGGCTGTATTTTCTACTAACATTGACCTACAATAATGTACATCAAAATCTATAAATACGTGTTGATTTTCCGTAATAAACGTTCTGTTGCCTGGCCCTTGTCTTCTGTTGTTATATACCGTCTGTTATTTCTTATCTGAAAGGGAAAATTTTATTCAGTAAAACACGCTGAGAAGTTTATATAGTGTGTAAACATTTTGTGCAGAATACAACTGCGACTATTATCATTATCATCACTGTTAACCAAGCATTCTGATATTCTTCAGTTTAAACTACTAATTTTCACCATGCTAAAGGCTTGTCCTGAAGGTATATCGTAGACAGACAGAGTCTACTGATTTCAATGATTCACTCCTCTTTGTTTTCAGCGATCGATTAGCCCAGTGTAAAGAGTTCGAAACAAAGACAAAACAGATGTCTAGTCCTTACTGGTCTTTAATGGTTCTCTAAATGAACTAAGTCCATGTTCAATCTTGAGATAGACCAAATCCCTGCAAACCAACTCTTGAAAGCTAGTTTAGTGCTCACTGGTGACTGATTGCCAGATGAAGTTGCCACAAGTTCAGCTGGGATGTTGTGATCAGTAGAGTGGACCAAGTTGAGCATGAGAAAAGATACTCACTGATGACAGTGGTTGGTCCTCATGCTATATGCGTCCGTGGCACATTGGTCAGGACTCTCGAAGACCATGCACATGGTCCGGGGTTCGATCCCCTGCCGACGAACACCTGATATCTATGGTCGGCCTGCGAAATTTGGGCTACCGATATCACATACTTAAAATTCCATACTTGTACCAAAAGTACTGTGTGGAATCAAGCTGTAATTAAAAAAATTGTATTGTGAAACGACAGAAGTTAGAATTCATCGGCCTTGTGGACTCCATTCCAGTAGCTGAATGGTCAACGAGGTCGTCCTGTAACCTGAAGCTCATGGTAGTGGGATCATGGGTGAATAATACTGAAAAGTCTCGAACTGTTTATTACTCTCTGGTTTCCAGTTAATCACCGACTGAATAAATTTCGCGATCAAACATACTGTTATGAATAAATCAAATTTTCTTTCATGTTTGTCTAATGCTTTGAAGAAAAACAACTCCAATTGTTCGTGTAAGATAGAAAAACTATTTAGCTAAATCAAGTAATCATTTGTTAATAATATTATTATTATTTTGTAATGAAAATAATAAAACATTGTTTATTCTATAACTACCTTATTTAACTGATATTAATAATAATCATAATAATAATAACATTAAAAATGACAACCATTCATACTAAGATTCAACTACATTTTGAAATGAAATTTACAACAAACTAGTTCCGTATATTTATTTGCCATTATTTGTGTTTATATGTATATATATGGGGATCGAGATAATTATGATTGCCTCCGCCAGTGTGAAATCTGTTGACAGTGCATCTTGAAACGCTTCCTCCTCAGCGTATATATATACACGCATCGATGTGAATATACATTGTGACTGTTTCTGCACGGAGAGGAGTGATCAACTGACGTCAGCGTTAATTTTGGAAGGAAGGAAACTCCGCATACAATACAAAAAAGTGAAAAGGTCAACTAATATACTCTGGAACTATCTCATGTGTCGGTCGTGTAAGCCTATAAATGTTTTTAAAATCTTTAAAGATAACAGTCTGTTAACAAAGAACTCAGTATGATAAAATAACAAAAGAAAAGACACATATTAAGGAAAATGTAGTTTGTAGTCTTGAACTTTAGGGAAAATCTTCTCAAATCTTGCTAAAAATCAAACATGAATTTTTCTTATCTAAATTAACAATGAATGTAAGTATGTTGGGAAATAATAACTGGCCAAGGAAAACTTGCATTTGTAATGTGGACTAAAATAAAATTCTTTTATCGGATTAAAATTTGATAATTTTGGGGAAAACAAACGGACTGATATACACTGCTGCTTGATAAAATACTCTTTCCCTCCCTCCCACCCAAAAAAAGAAAAGCCTAACAATCAATTTAGAAATGAATACCATATAAAATTCAATAGTCAGCTTTATAGGCAGTTCAGTAATTGATGGTAGCTAAATTGAGATTTCAACAAGTATATATTTAAGGAAATACACTTGAATACAAGTAAATTACTAAAAGAAAGGAACACAATAATCCATTCATCAGTTTCTTTTTAACAATAAATGTGTGGAGTACTAAAATAATGTCTCAAGTTAAAGAAAGATACTATGTGTGACGCTTTGATTTTCTTCTTGATTCTACACACTTTTTGATGATCATGGAAAACACATGAAGTACTAAACATTTCTAAATAGTTTTATTTGAAACTACGGAGAAGGATAGATGCGCTGAACTAAAATAAAACAAAAACAAATGAAGACTGTGAAAACAAAAAATATTCGTTTTTCTTAAAAAAAATCAGAAGAAGAAATACAATCACATGCATTCTTCGTTGTTGTTGCTGTTGTGGTTGTTGTTGTTGTTGTTTTTGATTTGATTAGCTGTCAGAATCAGGGTTTCTTATTTATATTTGAAAATATCAGCCATATCATACATAGTACAGAGAAACAGACTAAACATTTGAAGTCTCATATTCTACTGTATAATTAGTTTTATTTTTGTCAGAAATTTAGTTAAACACAACTTTCGAAAAACAGCAAAAAACCAAAATAAAACAAAAACAAAGAGGTAACAGTACAAATTGAAAGTAATACATCGGAATAAAATTTTATAAATGAGTATTACTTATTGTGTTTTGTTGGTGAGATCTGGACTTGTTTGCAAGTAATTGAGGTGAATGAGATTCTGTTGTCTGTGTGTTTTGATGATCATCACTTTTTTTATTATTTAATTTATCAACAATCTTTTTTGGAGCACTTTTAGACTGTGTACGTTCAATCAGTACTTGAGACGACTGAATATCTTGATGTAATAAGTAAGGTGCAGTAAGTGGCATTAATACTGCACCTAACGGTGCTGTAATCAAAATTGAAAGTGCAGCCAGTGTTACAACCTATAGAAGAAGAAAAATAGCATAGAGTATCGGATTATATTTTATCAGGAAGCTTGATTAATTAATTAGTTAATTAATTAATTAATTTAAACGATAATGCAAGCTGATTATTTTGTATAGACTCTTGTCAACTGCATAAAAGTCTAAACAGTATCAAAATATGAGTTGCAAAGTGCCTGAACATACTTTTTTTTGATATTAGGTTGATTCCACACAGTATTTTCGGTACAGGTATGGAATTTTCAGCATGTGATATCGGTAGCCCAAAATTTTGCAGGCTGACCATTGATATCAGGTGTGCGTCGGCAGGGGATTGAACCCCGGACCATGTGCATGGTCAGCGAGAGTCCACCGACGCTCAGTGATGTTGAGTTATTCAGCTCATGATGAAATCCTCCATCCAACCAAATGTATTAGCTACGCAATTCCGAAATGACACAAGTAAACAAATTATCTTGTTTGATAATTCTCATTATAGCATTAAGAGCACAGTATTCAGAGAAGAGACTCTTTTCAACAACGAATTTATTATCAAGCTGTACAATCGTATATATATATGGTTCTTTTTAAGAAATTATATCCGATGATTCAATTGAATAAAAGGTGTGAATACATGAAATAATAATAGTAGTATGAAATGCAATTAAATATTTGTGATTATAATCATAGTTAAATGTCAAGTAGCAAAACAATTAATGTCATATGTAGAATAATTCATAAGATGTATGGATGTCAAAAAGGGGAGCATAATTATCGGATTAGAACACCTGATCGACTCCTGCCACACTACTAACCCTGACCATGATTTTAAGATCATCATCTATCGAATTCATGCTAATTTGCCGGTCGCATTTTCTTCGTTCTAAACTTTTAAAGAGGCCTTGACCATTCATGAATTTAAGCCAGACGTTTGTGTACAAAAGAAGTATGTAATATCCCTACTTCTGCCTTGGCCATAGAAGGATAGACATCTATTTATTTATTTTGTTTGTTTAGTGAATCTATGTACCTTCTTCTCATTACTACAATTATTATTTTTATTATTCTCAGTCTGAATAGTTTCCGCTTGTCCCACTTGTCATTCCAAATCCAAAAATGTCCTTACAATGTTAAATCCTATCTTATCAAATTCCGCAACATGCTATGTAATGTTTTATATTGCCTAACTAATCCTATAAGTTTGCACCTCTTTCTAACATCTATACATCTTATGAATTATTCTACATATGACATTAATTGTTTTGCAACTTGACATTTAACTATGATTATAATCACAAATATTTCAATTGCATTTCATACTACTATTATTATTTCATGTATTCACACCTTTCATCCAATTTACTCACCGGATATGATTTCTTTAAAAAAAAACCATATATATACGATTGTACAGCTTGACAATAAATTCGTTGTTGAAAAGAGTCTCTTCGCTGAATATTGTGTTCTTAAATCATCAACTGTTGAAAGGGCTAACTATTTATTGAATATTCAAACAAAGAAAAGAAATCACCAATATCTACCAGTATACATAGCAAACCTTGGTTACTTTGTTTTGCATGAACCACTGTTGTGAAACGATTTCAGGCTGACGTGTATACCCAGAAAGATATTGATTAACCTCTTACTATCTTGGTAACCGTAATTGTGTTGTTCATTTGTTTTGTGCATGATTCTACTGATTTCTACTGAGTTGAAGTTAATTTTAAGCCTCAAAATTTATTTAATTGTTTGTCCATGTCATAATTTTTTCTTTCACTGTAGAACTTTCTATCATTTTATGTATAAATTCATTTTGTTGTTCGATTTTTTATTCTGTCTCTAGTCAATCCTTGTTTCAGTGCAAAATTTGAACTCTGGTTGGAATTTCTTGTCTAACTATTTCATAATTAGTTAACCTTTTTGGCACTAACACCATTTCGAAATTATGTATACTTTTTCTTATGTATAACTCGATGTCACTGTGATAAAAAACGGTTATCTTCTGTAGCTTATATTTTCATATAATTTAGGTTGATATTTAGTTGATATGAATTTGCAAAATAAAACAAGCACATATATTTGTGCTTCATTTGTTCCAGCTAATCAAGAGCAACAGTTGTGAGGAGTTATTTATTAATTGTGCCTTTATATTTTTTTTATTTTTTTTTTATTTTGATTTACAGCTTGATTCCACACCGTATTTTTGGTACAAGTATGGAATTTTCAGTATGTGATATCGGTAGCCCGAATTTCGCAGACCGACCATAGATATCAGGTGTGCGTCGGCAGGGGATCGAACCCCGGACCATGTGCATGGTCGGCGAGAGTCCTAACCACTGTGCCACCGACGCACCATCACATAATAAAACTCAATTAAACAAAGATTTTTGTTGCCTTCAAATAAATATCCAAATAATAACATGACAAAATAAGACAATGTTCCCCGATTTCCAGTTGCCAATATTACTTATTACTAGTATTATTTCCTTGCGTTCTGAGTGGAATATAGGTCTTCAGCAACACACCTCCACTTTGTTCTATCTCCTGCCGTCCTCTTCAGCTGGGTCCACGATTGACCAAACTGTCTCATCTCTTCCTCACACGATCTCCTACATTTCACTCTCGCACTGACGACCTATTCGTTGCTTCCTATTAGGATTCCTGTCGAGCCATGCCCTGCACTGCGTGCGATGTCATTCGGTGGCCTCCTCAATGTACGCCCGATCCACCTCCAATTTCTCCTACATATTTGTTGAGCGATCAGCTCAACATCTCCTAGTTTTCTAGCTGGTTTTCTAGCCCGGGTTAAGAGGGTGCGGAGGCCAGCAACCCCGCACCACTAAATCTTTCAAACAGCTAGAGAAACTTCAACACACATTTGCAAATATAGATGCTATTAAGTGTTTCACAAATTAGTTGGCATTGTTAAAGATATAACAGGAAGAATACACATCAGTCTTGTGATTTTCCTGTTTTACTTCTTCCTCACGCCTACATTACAAAGCCATATGGAATATCCAATCATGCATGTATTGCTAATGAAAAATAAGAATATAAAATTGTTAAAAAATGGCCCGAAACAGTTTTACAAACACAGACATTTATAGTGAATGAAGCGGTGATTATATTGTCGAAAATGTTATGGAATACAACCACACCACATCATTGCTTCAAATCACACCTAGTAAATAATAAATTAAAAATACAAAGACTGTCCTGCAACTCTTACATATTTAGCCAGTGGCATTCGTTCACTTTCACTCTTGATAGCCAACTTGCAAGTATTTTTTCTCTGTAACATTAGTTTATCAAAATTACAGTGGGTATTATTATCTATCCAAAAGAATCTTCAGATAACAAGTTATATTTATATACGACTACTTAGAAGTTTGTATTCCTTGTTGACTGTGCCAAAATGTTCCAATTCTGTTGACATGTAGGCTCCTAGTACGGATTCATTCGACGATATTAAAGGATTGCAATTATGTTTTTTGGTTGATGGTAATTGGTGATACACCTTTTCGAGACTTATCATCTGAATGCATCTGCATCCGCAGTGAAAGACGCTGTTCCCAGTGAGGACCGAACCCAGTTCCCAATCGTTTCAGACACAATGGTGTTATTCACTAGGCCACGTAGGCATATGAAACGACGGGTGCTAAGTTTTAGTCTCAGTGGAAACAACATGACCCACTATGAATGCAGGTGAATCCAGATGAAGTGTCACACATTAGGCTAAATATGCATCTTGAATTCCACTGCTAGTTACCACCTATCGATTAAATTCTTAGTAGGTTCAGCTAAATATTGACGCGGCTGAATTACTTAACGGTCAGGCATGGTCCTGTACTAGATAAGATTATTTCCTATAACAAACAGTGATGCATCGTTAGTAATTGGATACTGTTCCGATCATATTTTATTATATTCCAAAACAGTGTATAAATTTAGCCCCAAAATTAGCCATACGTAATATTCTGATCATCCAGTAAAATTAAGTCTTCAGGTAATCATTATTCCTTATCCAGGTGTTTTCATATCCTAAGTGTACCTTCCTGTATTTTTCACAGAACAAAATACTAGCCGAAGACATTGTCTAGGGGTTGCGCTATGTCGTGAATTGGCAGAAGTTAGAATTCATGGGCCACTGGATCGGGTCCCAGTGGCTTAATGGTATACGATCTCGCCTTGTAACCAGAAGGTCCTGGGTTCGAACCCCGGCGGTGCGTACTGTTGAAGAGTCTCAAACTAGGACGAAACCGCTGTCCAGTACTCCCAGGTTTTCCAATGGATCTCTAACCGATGTCAGCTAATGATGAAAATCCTGTAACCAATCAAATCCCTACAAACCAACACTTGAAAAATTTACTTGCTCATAACCTTTTACTTCGTTCAATCTACTGAAATTTCCTCAAAACATAAACTTCTGTGGATCTAGTGAAATCTTAGAAATAGTTTGATACTTACTTGATTACCATATATACGTAAATATAAAAAATTCAATAAACATACCTGTTCACCATAACCAATAATCTCTGCACTAGCATTCGACCGTCTAGCTGTGTCCAATGCAACTGGTCCAATAGCGGCTTGTACAGTAGCTTTTGGTAACCAGGCGAATCCTACAAACAGACGTTCACGCATATTCAACTTTGATGGTAGAACAGCTAATATTGTAGCCAATAGACGGAAAAATAATGAGATAAAGAATGCACCTAATCCACGCCCTAATATATAGTAGAACGAAAAAAACGGGGAAATAAATTCAATGTAAAAAGTGTTACATTACATTTTAATATGTGAAAGAAATATATTAGTTATTTTGAAGGCTTGACTAATTTCTACTGTGTGTCCAGTGTCAATTAAATGTCTGGCGATTGCACCCGATAACCCTTTTCTTCCTTTTGTCGGGAGACTCTTGCGAATGTGCTCAGAAAATCTAGTAGATGCTCTCCTCTAAGTCCTTCTTATGTACTTGCTTCCGCAAGTGCAAGTGAATTGGTAAATGCAGTTGGAGTTGACGTGAGTAGGGTACTCATCTACTTTTGACTGGATTAACGAGCACATAGTGTTATGATATAGGATCAGTCTGGCGACTGGAAACGTCCTTTTTAATGCACCTGTGATTCTTTGTTGTGTTCTTGTGGATACGTCTTCCCCTTTGTACGCTGGGCAGATGAAAACTGGTTTCTTTTTAACGGTGTTATGTTTCGGTTTGTGTGCTTTTTCATTTCTATACTTTAATATAAACTTTCAAGGATATCCATTCTCGATAAGGTTCTTTTCAATGACCGCAAGCAAAATACTGAGCCGTATCATCCTGGAGAGAATCAAACATGCCCTAGATGAAAAACTTCGACCGGAACAGGCTGGGTTCAGGAGAAGCAAGTCATGTATTGATCAGATCGCCATATCACGGATCATCATTGAACAAAGCCTGGAATGGCAGTTACCTCTCTGTCTCAACTTCATCGACTTTGAAAAGGCCTTTGACAGCATTGATCGAAAGGTGATTTGGAAACTACTACGCTACTATGGGGTGCCACCGACAATTATACATCTCATCCAACAGCTGTACGACAATTCTGCATGCCAAGTAATCCACAACGGGAAACTCACGGAATCCTTCGAAATGAGGACAGGAGTAAGACAAGCTGACTGCCTACTATCGCTAATGATTTTCCTGATTGCAGCAGATTGTATAATGCGACAAACAGCTGGCGGGCAGCGAGGAAACAGGCATAAAATGGACTCACACAAAAAACTTAGGGGATCTGGACTTCGCCTATGATATATGTCTGATTTCACACAAACTGGAAGATATGCAAGCGAAAAGCAACAAAGTGGCAGAAGAAGCATCAAAGAACATAGAGAAAACAGAGGTGATGAAGATTCCTGGACAAGAACAACAACAACAGACAACGATCAGCATAAATGAGAGGAACCTGAAAGAAACAACCTCCTTTACCACCTACCTGGGAAGCATCGTTTCAACTGCAGGCGGACGGGACTGATGAGGATATCAAAGCAAGAATCGAAAAAGCAAGACAAGCTTTCATTACTCTCGAGTCTGTGTGGAGGTCAACACTCGGCACTCAGCATCAAAAATAAGATCCGGATTTTCAACTCCAATGTGAAGTCAGTGCTACTTTACGGATGAGAGACTTGGCGCGTCATAAAGAGCATCTCAAACAAATTACAGACCTTCATTATCAGTTGTCTTCACTCAATACTCAAGATCAGATGGCCAGAAAAGATCAGCAACAGGGATCTCTGGGAGCGAACCAACCAGGAACCGATTGTGAAACAAAATAGGCAGGAAGAAATGGAGATGGATTGGCCATACTCTGAGGAAACCATCAAGTGACATCACTAGACAAGCCATTGCTCGAGTGGAACCCGAAAGGGAAGCGGCGAGTTGGTCGTCAATGCGAGGGTGACTTGGAGGAGGTCATGTGAAGAGGAGATGAAAGCGTGTGGGCGGACTTGGAGCCAGGTGAAGACTCTAGCAGAGAAGCGAATGCAATGGAGACGCACGGCTGAAGCCCCACGTTCCTCTAGGAAATAAAAGAAACGATAATAATAATATCGGGTACCAAATAAATTGACAAAAGCCCCTAAGTACTCCAAACAACAAAGGCCATTGTAGTTAGCTTAGAGTAATCGGAGTTCAGAGTGCAAATGAAACAGGTTCAGCTACTACTGCTAAACTGCCCTGTTGTGTAACCTTTAAATTCATTGTTATTTGCTATTACTAAAAAAACACTAATTTTGTTAATAACGATAGTTCTTTAATTATTATGGACATTTGACTGAAGAACTTGATGAATCAGTTGTCAAAAAGAGTGTTCTTTCATCACCAATCATTTTCTTCACATTTTAATGGACCTTTTTAACTAACTAAAACACTGTGCATTCTTAAATATTAATCCTGTGGTATGAATCACTGTGAGCATAACATCTGGTATAGAAAAATTCTAAATTACACTAAGGCTTTTGTAGATTACGCGATGTTAGTGCATATATGATTAAGTTCTAAAATTTGAGGAGGAGGAGACAGAATAAGGTAATGCTATTTTATATCTCTTTTTTCAAGTATTAAAATTCTTTATGAATAATAAAAATGATAATTTTGATAAGAGAAGAAATTGAAACAAATAGGCAATACGAATAAAACCATCTCGTTCAACTGATCTTATCCGTATTCGGTTTACTCCACACCACATTTTTAAAAATTGTAAGTATGTGTGTGTGTGTGTCTCAACACGGTAGTAAATACTGGATAGACCCAGTTGTTATGCAACATATATATATATATATATATATAGGACAAAAGGCAAATGTCATCGATAAAATCTAAGTGGTGAATATAACAAAGCAGATATATAGTTCATCAATCATTATGTAATCAACTCTCTTGAATAATAAGAAGTGTGAAATGATCCCTACTATTCGTATTTCATTATTAATCAATATAGCTTAGAAATAGTTGAGGAGAAAAAGATAAGACAGAAAGAAAGAAGAAAGATTAGTCTTAACATATTCGTTATGAGTTCATATTAGACTATTCCTCTTTTTTTCCATCTTATTTCTAATCTCTTGTTTTTAGAGATTTTTCTTTGCGATGAAGTAATAAATGTAGATGTTGAAAAATGATAAAATAACATAAATTTACGCATATTTAATATCCGTTTGTCTAGTGTAACATTTTGCCTCTGCATAGATATATATATGTATAAGTAGCATATTAATGGTATTTTAGAAATCTATGTTTTCTGTTAAACCTAGACAAACAAGCTTGAAATGGACTCTTCCGTAATACATCATAAGTTCCTTTAGTTCCTAGAGGAACATAGGGCTTCAACCGCACGTCTTCATTGCGTTCGGTCAACGTTCTCACCTGGCTCCACGTCTGCCCACATGCTTTCATCTACTCTTCATATGACCTCCTCCACGTCACTCTCGCACTGGCGACCAACTCGACGCTTCACGTTCGGGCTGCACTCGAGAGAGAGCCTGGCGTGTGATGTGTCTTAATGGTTTTCTCAGAGTATGGCCAATCCACTTCCATTTCTTCTTAAATATTTGTTGCACAGTCTGTTCATGTTTCGCTCCCAGAGATCCTTCATTATTGTTGACCTTTTCTGGCCGTCTGAAGTTGAGTAGTGAGCGAAGTTAGCTGTTGATGAAGGTGTGTAGTTTTGGAAGTGCCCTTCGTGACTCGGCGCCAAGCCTCTGATCCGTATAGTAGCACTGACTTCACATTGGAGTTGAAAATCCGGATCTTATTTTTGATGCTGAGTGCCGAGTGTTGATCTCCACATAGACTTGAGAGTGATAAAAGCTTGCCTTGCTTTCCGGATCCTCGCTTTGATATCCTCATCAGTTCCGTCCGCATGTAGTTGAAACGATGCTTACCATGTAAGTAAAGGAGGTTGCTTCTTTCAAATTTCTCCCATTTATGCTGGGTGATTGTTGCCTGTTGTTACTATTGTTGCTGTTGGCCAGGAATCTTCATCACCTCTGTTTTCTCTATGTTCACCTGAAGTCCCTCCTATCTTTGAAAAACATCACAAGTAGACAATACATATTTGGTGAAATTTTTGTAGTTTATTTTTTATGAATCATCTACTAATATAAATTTAAGCCAAACTTCACTTTTAACCAATAATAACTGCCGAGCTATTTGGATGTCAAAGTCAGGATCGACAAAGTGAAACATATGTTCATTACTCTGATATCAATGTAGAAATCTACTACCGTCAGAACAAATGGAACAAAATTCGAACTTTTGACATTAATGTCAAACAGGTCTGTGCTTCAGAGACTTGGCAAGCGCATCAACTGAAGTATTTCTAACTAACTCCTGTATACTATTGTTAACAGCTAGCTGCCTCTGCTTGCAGTACAAGGGACCAGTTAATAACACGCTGCTCAAAAAATATGCAGGAGGAAATGGAAATGGACTAAACATATGCTGAAGAGACCACTGAGTGATATCACACTAAACTCGAATATGAACAAAGAGATTTGAGCTCGAGGCCAAGGGGGAACAGTAATGGAGCCAGTTGGAAGTAATGACAAAAAACCACAAGCACTGAGCTTGCTAATCGAAATTATTATTATCAGTGACCATTACAGGGCAAAGCTATATAAGTCAATTTTAGAAACAACTTAACATGGTACAGTATCAAAGGTGTGCACTTTTCAATGGATGGCGAAAGACTAAATTATGCACAAATCGCTTCCTTCATAAACGATCCTCTCCATTTTAGACTCGGACGCTGAATACATCCTTTCCTATTCGAAAAGCTAGAGTTCCTTAGAACTAATCCCTTTTCGTAGACCATCTGACCATCATAATTGAGCGAAGGTAGCTGTTGATAAGGGTCTAAGTCTTTTTGACTATAGTGAAATCAAATGCTGTCTATATTATGAGAGTTTGACATGTTGATTAAATTTTTGAAGTTATCCTACAAATAATTTTTCACACAGTTTTGTTAAATCACTGATATTAAAGTAATAAACAAACTAACCGATTTACTATTACTTATATACCTTAAGGTGCGTCGGTGGCACAGTGGTAAGGACACTCGCCGACCATGCACATGGTCCGGCGTTCGATCCCCGACCGACGCACTCCTTAACCTCGCCAAACCAGTAATAAAAAAGCCGGTAAAGAGGAAAGGTTGGGCATGAGGCTAGCAACCTCATCCTGTAAAAGTGAAACACTGCTACAGAAACTTCAAGTCTCTAGCTTGAAGCCCTATGGTTCACTGGGAACGTGAAGGAAAGAAAAAATTCCTTAAGACACATCTGACTTTAGTGAAGAGCAACAGATGTTGTCATTATAAATGTCAAATGCTACTCATAGTATTTTACTGTATTTCTAGCTGGAATAACACATCACGCTCATACATTTAAAGATACTGAATAAACTTATTAACAGCAGTGTAGTTAATCACCAGGAGTAGTGTATCATTGGTCCTCATGATTGCTGGGCAATGCTTGTGGTGATTTCGGTGAAATAGTGGACTGTTTAGCGGTCGCGTCTTGCTGCTTATCCGGTACAGCTTTGGTTCGAAACCTTCTGTGATGTAGGAATTTTTTGAATTTCATACTCACCTTGTCACCAAAGTTAAAGTGTCTCAGATACTCTCACCAACATGTAACAAACAAAGAAGGTGGAAAATAGTGCATAGCATTATTTACAAGGTTATCAAGTTACTGTAAGTTGAATTCTATGAAATATTCATCTACTACATTAGTTCCCGCCATACTCATTTCACAAAATCACACACACAAGAATTTTTATAAGAAAACCATGATCGGTTATTATCATGATTTGCTTACTGCCTAAAAATCAGAAATATCCTGGATGTAAAACTATTTTTTTCTGTGGAAACACACTCTCTGAAATGAGTGTTTTCGCTTCACAAGTTATGGAGTAAAAATGGAACTAATTATATATTGGGAAAAATACTTAAATTAGTCAGGCACATTAAGTTCTCTACATTATAATCAACTAGAGAATAAAACTCATACGCATCAGTTTCCATGTCACTGACTGGTTAAGAGAGAGAAAATAAATAAAAATTTGTTCCAGATAAGTTCGGGAATTGTAATTTTATAAGAGTATTTAATCAGAACTTTACTTTCTTACAACTGAAATTTCTTACTGAAGCGTCTTATTATTACAGAAAGGAAAATAATGTTTATATTTGATGGAACATTATGTGTTATATGAGGGAATTCATACTGTGAATTGAAAACAAATATATGTACACCGTCTACATTCTCCGCACTAGATTCAGAGTCAGACTTTACCACAGCACATGTTACTTGAGGAATCTAAATATCGCCTTCAGACCAAGACAAAATGCAAGAATCGGATTGCGGTAAGTATGCTTATGTTTCAGAAGATCAATAGGGCCTCTTCCATGCCTGAAGCCTGCCTGATTCTTGCAGGCTTGCTTTCTCAAGCACCAGTGAGCCTTTACAAGGCTAAGTGAACCTAGAATATTAGATTGTATGTTAGTCAAGCTGATCCCATTGTAACTATCATTGAGGCTTTCAGCCATTTTTTATATGACGGAATAATTGACTATCTTGGATTCCCATACACCAGTAGACCTCCTAGATTAGGTTGAGAAGGCTAGCCTTTTCTGACGTTTTCTGTCTAACATGAAAAGACAGAACAGGCAGTTTGTAGGTTCTCTGACAAAAACACCTTACTGTTTTCTATAGTTTGGTTTGTAAGGATTAGTTATGTTTTACGAGTTGATCACGGACTGATATCAGTTAGAGAACCATTGAAAACCAGGGAGTACTGGACAGCTGATGTTTCATCCTAGTTTGGGAATCATCGGCAGTACGCACCCACTGGGATTCAAACCCGGGACCTTCCGGTTACAAGGCAAGCTCGTATACCATTCAGCCACTGGGACCTGATTCAATGGCTCTTGAATTCTAACTTCTACCAATTCGTGATTTTAGCGCCACCCCAACTATTGTCGTTGGTGGAAATCCATCCACACGTGACTTCTAATTGGACCTCACTGGTCACGACTTCTCACTAGAACTCCAGGAAGCTCCAACCTGTAGCAAGTCACTAGCGAGCATCAGAATAATTTTCTATAGTTTGGTTTGTAAGGATTAGTTATGTTTTACGAGTTGATCACGGACTGATATCAGTCCGTGGGTGCGTACTGCCGATGATTCCCAAACTAGGATGAAACGTCAGCTGTCCAGTACTCCCCGGTTTTCAATGGTTCTCTAACTGATATCAGTCCGTGATCAACTCGTAAAACTTTACTGTTTGTTGTTTCAGTCCTATCCACCAACCGTATGACTTTAACGTCAGCCTTTCTCAGTCATACAGTAAACAACTTACCCTATACTAGTAACTGATTTTAGTTTAACCTCTACCTGACTACCTTTTGTGGCATTATGAGACCATCAGAACCACTTGTTCCATTCAGAATAGTTGCGATAAGTCAATCTGACTGTCACGTCAAGCTATCAATTACCGGTCGCAAGTGAGAAATTTAACACGGAAACAGACTGTTGTGTTTTACAGTAAGCTTGTTTAAAAATTTATTTAAGTTCAAATAAACCCGTTGTCTACCGCTCTTATCATATTCAGTGTACTGAAACAAATGTTTTAATGTAGTGATTACATGATGAGTCCAGTATGCAATACACAGAATTATACGGTGAAAACTCTTCTACCTCTTTCTGATGAGACATTTTACCATAAATTATTTTGATTTTAGACTTTATTTCATCGTTGACTTTCAAGAGACATAGCTGTTCTTTAAGTTTAAATATTTCAAAATGAAACCTTTCTTTCGCTTATCCCTAGGAGTATGTCTATACGAAATACTGCTAAGACAACATCTGGAAGGAATATTTCTGGAGTAGTTAAACTTCAGACACTTAACAGGCACGAACACATCAATGACCTTGGTACGCTCGGTCACAGTAAGACAGGTAAATAACACTGATTTCATGAAAACGTGTTGTAGGAAGTTTAGTAGTATTAAACAGGATTAAGGTTAGTTTAAGGGTAGGGACGTGTCACGACTATGAAGACATTAGGGTTGAATTAATAGCCAAAGTCCGCTTCCCAGCACAAGTGCTCTTTCTAAGACCACAGTTGCGCCTGTATCCCGAGGTTATCTAAAGCTTAAGTTTGCCGTATTTTTTCACTAAAACTACGTTCATATCCTTTTTTGTCAGTTTTTTCTTTAATTAAAATGAAGTTCAGAAAAATCATCTTCTAGAAGAAAAAGTTAGATATTACTCAGAATAATGAAAAATGAAGTACTAAAAGGAATTTTTCCAAGGAATATGACAAACTAATCTATTAAATCTAGGTAACAATATCAGCATTAAATTTACCGGTTGATCCTCCAGGCATGTGTGTGATATTTACTTCAGATCCTATTAAGGTGAACAAAATAGGTTGAACAAACCACCAGGTAACTGCCATAGTTCTACGCATAGAATTTAAACAAGCCAAACCGCGTTCAGCAGGAGTAGCTGGAACAACCTCCTCGCTTGATGTTGTTTGTATGTTATGGTCATAATTACTTGCATTATGATCATCAATGTTTGTTACCTGATTATTTTCACTTTGCTTACGTATTCTTTTATCTACTTCATTTGATGAAGTATCATCGTTCTCCTCCACTTCTTCAACTTTTTCAACTGGCTGATTGTTGTAATAAGCTGCATACTGCTCTGCAAACGTTGGTACAACTGAATCAAAATGAAAGAAAAGAAATGAAATGAAAAGAGACACAGTCTATCAAGCTGGCTGTATGCACAAAGCACTTCATTAACATAACATTCATTACTGACACTATATGCATAATAATATCCATTGACTTTTTAACAATTAGGTCTACAATGTGGAATAAATCAATGCAAGATAGACTTACATATTCTTCTTTTTGATCTGTTTATATGACGCAGGGCATTAGCAGAAGAAGGACTTCTTCCTCGTCTAAACGACTGAGGCACAGAAAATGATTCAAGTTCATAGTGAGCTGTTGGTTCTGGTAGGCTGAATCTTCTAGAGGTTCTAGGTTTCGGGATCACACTTACAGGAGTTGGCTGCATTTGTTGCGGATAATTGTACTGCTGACGCTGCACTGGTGCTTCTCCTCGTCTGTCAGTGCCTGTAGCAGCTACCGCAACAGCTAAAGCCGGAAGATCACCTCTTTTTTTATCACTATCAGACATTATTCGATTACGGATGCTGCTACGACTGCTTTGTTCACCTGATGAGTGCTGACCATATTGTTGACGCAGAATCGAGCAATAGTATGGGTGGAATTCAACCAATGATTCAAGTACATTCGAACTATTCGGATCTCTTTGACGTCTTGTCAAACTTTCACTGTCTATTTCATCATCCAAATGTCTATCTTGCTCCTCAATAGATTCTAGTTTGTTAGGCATAACACCTATCTTTTCTTGAGACCCATCATTACTGTGCATAGAATTTCTTGCTGATAAGTCATTGTATTTATCAGTTAAGTAATCAGAATTTGCACGATTTGAATTTTGTGTGACGTTTGGTTGTGTTTCCACAAGTAAATTTGTTGACTGTGTCAAACGCCAGGGAAAACCGTTACGCCAGCCTGTAGCCACAACAAAGGCAAGAGTTAAACAGGACAGTGCACCCGCACCAGGTAAATCTATAGCAACTGAACCGACTAGACCAGTTATTGCGAAACAGATGAGTAGAATTCCTCGAACGAGGTGTGAATGTTCCTGAAATATGGAAAATAACGTTTAAGAATGGAAATTTATATATTTTTTTCACTTCAAAATTCTTTAATTTAACAGGATAATTGTGCAAGTGCACTAACTTAAACTTATCACTACTCCAAACTAACCGGTTCAGCGAAAGTGAAGGTTACATATCTATCACACAAATAGAAGTTTAAAACTGAATAGACATTGTATAATCTTTGATACGGAACTGTTTTTAGCAAACGACTTTTCCATGGACTCACTAAGCTAATGGACCTACTGATGCTATTAAACCTTTTCTGAACATTAAAATTAGATTAATTCAGGTATTTTCTCATTAATACGCCTCTGCTTAGAAGCTGGTATGAAAGGGCTTTTTTATGGTACGGAGATATCTGGAATTCTCCACATGCAATCGTATTCTTCTAATTCGATGAGACTGAAAAATCCTGGTGATTACGCCTATTTCTTTCATAGTGAAACTCTCAACCGATTAATTAATTTGTAAACAATCACAACTCAACACGTAGAGACACTCACTTTCATTCTGAATTAAACTAAATTTTCAACATAGAACTCTGCACATAAGTGCATCAGTTAAAGTTTGCACACCTCATAAATGCACAGTACAGTAAATTCAAAGAAGTTATAGTTAAGAGAAATTTATGGTAGAAAGAATAATTCTGTGGAGGATAGAAAGAATTTCAAAGGATCTGGGAGGTCATAAAGAGTGAATACATATGTGATAATGATTAGGATTTCAAGCCATGTCACTAACAATCTCCATTCATTGGTTCTTAGAGCCTACCAGGTACTCTGCGCCTCCCTACATGGAAGTCTCAAACCGACAGTCAAAGACTTTACGAACTGATGCCAGGTTTTATTTTGACTACCTCGTACCCTTTCTTCATCCCAATCCTATGTCAGCTAACATTACTCAGCAGAGAAAACCATGATGCATCATGCGCAAAACGTCTTTTAGCTCCTTCAATCGATGTAGCTTGACGAACTTGCCCTCTTTACCTAACACTACATGCATGAACTCAATATTACTTACTTTGTTACAGCACCTAACGCAAAAAATAGAAAGCACATATAGCTAGCCTCTCCAGGTCTTCAACTTTCAAATGCTACGTCTCAAAGCCAGAAAGAAGGACAAAGAGAAATGATGCACAGTACATACGATCGATAGCTGCGTATCACCTCTACACTACATATAACGTTAGTTAACGAGTGCCACACTAACTGTTTTTATCCTTACTAAGATTTCACCATCAGGGTTGATGAAACCAACCGAATACGTGAACAGCATTGTACTAACGTTCTAAAGAATTTCTCCTGCAAGCCAAAAGATACTGTTTACACTTCATGTAATTTTTTGTAGTGATTAATCTATTCACATTGCATTCATTAGTGAAGATCCAGGGTTAACTTTCTGTATTTTTCTATATTCTAATGAACTGAAAACCTACATCGAAGAGCATTCTTGTCCACCGAACGTCCCTACCATTTTGCTGTTTAATACTCCTCTGTTTCAATAATACTTTATGGAAACTGATACTACACTAAATTTAACGCATACCAGTAATATATAAGGCTTTCAGATACATTGTATTCATTAATAAACGATTTTATACCTTAGACAAAGGATCACTGGACTGTCATCTTTACAGATAATGCAACAATATTTCACTGCGTTCTTTCAATACGTCTGCAAATAAACTAGGTTGGTAAATCATTAATGTTTAATACATTTAAAAATGATCATAGTTACTTACCAGTTTTGGTGGAGGGAAGAAAAGTAATAAAATAGCTACACCTGCTCCAAATGAAGCTCCTATAATTGCTTCAAGTGGACCCCAAATTAAATTTTCAACAAAACTTTTTTCTGCAGAAGACGCCACTGCAAGTGCAACACCAAATCCAGTAATTGCAACAACATCATCTAAACTTGAAGCTGCAACGACAAGTGTTGGTATGCCTTCTGCTACTCCCCATCCTGTAACTTCTAAACGCATCATATTTGGTACAATAACAGCTGGTGAGACAGCAGCACAAACAAATCTGTAATGCGAAGAGTGTTGAAATAATGAATTAGATTCTTTAAAAAACACGTATCTATGGTTATACTAGTGAAATTAATTTTGAGATTTTAATGTGGAAATATTGGATTACTATAGGACCACTATTACTATCCATAGCATAAAATATTTTTTCAATGAATTCCCTTACTATACACCATAATGCCTAATACCTTATTGACAAGCTATACAAGGAAGAAAGCTAAACTATGTATTAGTCAACACTGTGTTTGTTAGATAAAGATAATTCTGAATTACTGACATCCCAATATTTCGTAGACAAGCTCATCCAACTACATAAGAATAAATATCAAAAAGTGAATAGGAAAATCTAAATGTTACTAAAAATATAATTGTTTCAAATATACATTTATGAGCATCAGTTAAAAAGCATACGAGATATCATCTTTCGCTCACAATCGATTACTAAAGATATATTCTACGAAAAACCAACCTATTTAACCGTTTGGCATTTGTAGTATTTGCATCTGATATATAGCTCTGTGTGTGAGTTAAGACTATAGTGAATATTCAGAATTCTAATTTATATGCATATATTTATATATATATATACTATCTATCTGCCCACTATAAAATCTCAGCTTAAGTTGATGGTTACAGTGGTTTAGTAAACGTGATGAGTTATTTTCAGCTGTATTAATCGGTGGTACGTTGGGAGTGTTAAATAACCTTACAAAGATTTGAGCTGGCATATGACAGCTCTGAAAGCATAATCTTGATCACTAAATGATTTTGTTCCTACTCTCCATACCCACACAATCATGTTTTCGTGGATAACGAAGATGATAAAACTAGTCTGGCTTCAGAACTGATTATGTATACATTGGTCAGATGATTTAGAAATACCCGTGAACGTACTGGTAATTAACGCTAGCTGTATTTGACATAATCAAATGAACGAAATGCCTGGATAAGTTCTTAATGAAATCCTTATATTCAAACATGGTTAGTTGTATTGTGAGGCTTATGCTTCAATGATATCCGATGAAGGTGTTTGCTGCCTTTACATTTATTCAGCTTCATTATAGAAATGCTTAAGAAGGTAATTGATTTCCGATTTGAATGCACAAGGACAGAACTACTCAAGAATGGATCTTTAGTTGACCTAAGCAATGTCAGAGACATCTTTCTTGAGCGTAGGCGCGGAAGCTTTTGGACATAAAACGTTTTGTGCTTTATGTAATCCCTCCAAAGTTTAAGTTGTCGTTTCAGGACTGGTTGGCGTCAACACCTTGTTTAGTTATAGTAAATTAGGCTTTTCAGTACACCAGTTATGTCACATTGCCTGGGAATTTGCATTACCTCTCTAATGACTGAGTGATTGACCAAATTTCATTGAAAACAAAAAGGGTTCGTTTACTATTTTTATTCGAAAATCACAAAAGCGAAATATGATATTGTCCACTGGATGCTGATTTTACTGCTTAGTGTCGCATCCTGCTTGACTGTACGACTACACCATATCTTCATCAAAGATTGAAGACCTGACTACAGCATAGATATCTGTCCACAGTTGTCTCCATTGCATCACATATAAGCAATGTATAAGACAGTGGTAATATCTTGAGTAAGATAATACAAAGCAGAGAATTGGCTACATTTTTTTAGAGGTTCTATATATTCAAACGATAAATACATTCTTCTCTTAGTCATAGTCTATTGACAGCAGCACTTATGAATGACTAAGCAATTGGCAATAAAACTATCTGATGCATAGGGGTTCTTTTTCTCTAACAATAAAATTTATGCACTTCTTATTCCATACCACCTGAAATAATTCATAGGCATTCATTCATCTAATATACACAAAAATGTATATGTATATATATGGCCAATTAAACAGACTATTATCCTTCAATAAATAAGGACATCTCTAACGGAGAAAAAAGTCAGTAAGATGAACATGTAAAGAAGTTTACTGTATTTAGAGATTTTATATTTCGTCTCATTGGTTAAATGCTCTATTGAGTTATCACTGCAACGAACCCAATGAAATCGCTAGTTGTAAACGTATTCGCAGGCGAATAATTAAATCATAGGCGTATAAGCTGTGGGCCTAGAATTAACAATGTAGTAAGTTCATATTTAGTGAATCACAACCTACCTACCTATGGGAAGAAGTATGCGTTAGCTAGACTTTATACATAGCATTTAAATGTAGAGATCTATCTCGTCAGCATAGGAGCTCTACTTTCAGGCACTTGGTTGGGGGTTTAAATCCCGCCTCATCTACTTCAGTCTGGGAAACTGAGTAATGTTACCAGCCCCCCCCCCTCATACACACACTGATTATTATATGTATCAGTGGCTGAATGAAGGGATCCTCTGTAAACAAGCAGATGGTCCAAGCCTGGCTCCAGGTCGATGCATTCCAAAGCCTCGTCTTGATTACTAGTTGATATTAGGCTGTTGGATGAAGTAAACTTGAGCATGAAGCAAGCTATTGCACCTCGTATAAACAACATCACCACAATTGGAACTTTGGAGCCTGGAGCTTGAAGCCCGTTATTCTACTCTGAATACAAGGAATGGAAATAAATTAAATCGGATAATTTGAGTAATGTAACAACTGGTAATTTCATTCATGGAGTCTTTGTAATATCTGATGATCACCTTTTTATGAGGCTCTTGATAAGTCATTTCAAGTCATATCGTTTGTTGATGTAAGAAAAGTACTAAAACGGATTTCAGCAATTTTCAAATTCCCACTTACGCATTTAGAAAAAACTGGATTTATTAGTGTTACTAAGAAAGGACTGAATAAAATGTACTGAAGAAGTAAACCAGAGAATTATAAAAGTTTTTGTATTTCCCAATGAATGAAAAATAAAACGATATTGTTTTCATTATTTTCATTCTCTGGCAAATACAAAGCCTTTGTGATAATGAATATCATATACCCAATGCCCAAATTTTTTTCAAACTGTTAAAAGGTAACTTGGTTCGGATATATATAAACCAGGGAATAATGTAGACTGCGGTTTTATACTCCGGGACATTTCGTCAGTATGCATCCATGACCCTCCAGAGGATCGGACTGATGACTTTCGGATTCCATGAGAACCTTCTGACAACTGAGCCACTAGTTTTGTTCTGACAATCATATTACCTGCAGTCTAACCTATATTTCTAAAATTAGTGAAACAGCATGATTTATTGCTTCAGTAGTACTGAAATCGATTAGGAGTGTTATAATCACTGCTTAACTGAAACCTTAAAGTAATGAACGTGTTTACGCATAAATTATACCAGCCAAGGCATAGTTATCGATACCCAAATCTCCAACTCAGCAATTTTTTTCAGGTCATAGGAACATTCTTGACCTTAGTAAAAATAGTACAACATAATTATGCTGCTGAATATTCAATCTAACAGCCATACGCACGCTACAGACTTGTGACTTTTTTATCTCATCATTTTACCTGTGTAGTTATTAACATAATTTATGCATAGTGGGGATCTGTTAACATTAACCCACCCTCTCATCAGTTTTTACCTTCCAACTCCTTGAAAAGCAGAAAACCTAAAAAATACCCAGCTCTCTTACAAAAATTATCAGTGTACAAAGATGCAGCAGTTTACGTTTCCTAACAGTAGCTATACAGTAACCATATACGCGACTGCAATTCAAAAACGATACACCAAGCTAAATAATTACGAAGAAATTAAGAGAATCAGTTCAAAGAACTTTTAATGCTGGTGAACTACACGTCTTATCCTCTACATGACCGACGATGATTCCTCGACTGAAAGATGAACTACCTAGACTAGCAACTTCCAATTGTATCTACCATTTCAAGTGCGCTTGTGGAGCGAAATATATCGGCTTTTGCTCTAGGAACTTCATTTTTCGTGCTCGAGAACATCTCCCACTATGGCTAATTAAAGGTGTAGTAAAAACCATCAACAATTCGATATTAGACCATCTGGTCCAAACTGACCACAAAGCCAGCATTGATGAATCCTTCTCAATCATCCACCGGGTGCCTAATAAATTGCCAAAAACATCGAAGCACCACATGCTCCAAACAGCAGAGGCTATTGCAATTCGCGTGAAACAACCAGTGCCCTGTATGCAAAAGAAGCAAGTCCAGCCACTTCTACTGCCCTGGCCTTCAGTAAAGACTATAAATTCATGGATTTGTATTATTATCTTTCCTAATTTTTCTGACATTCAGCTTATTTTATGTTGATACTATTGAACTGTAATCTACTGATATTATTGATTTAATTTTATTTAAACAATAATGTTGTTCATAACACTTATTCATTCATTCACTATAATGTATAAATAACTGTAGAGCCTGATGTTGAAGTTATCGAAAAGAGTATTCTTTGTTTAGTATCCATTCTTTTGAAACTTTTAATGGGCATTTTCTAGAAATATATATTCTGATAAATATTGTCACTCCATGTGTTCAGACGTAAAATAGTGTAAATTTTCTCTGCATATTTGAATCGAATTGTCTATGTATCCAGGTTTCAAAAACATTGAGGCCACTTCGGTGATTTTGATGGTTGAATTGTAAAAAGTAACAGTGGTATTCTAGGTTGTACGTAAATAGACGGCAGCAGGCAGTATTCGCTTCGATACAATATGTATTCGGTTACATGTTCGAATTTAACCGAAAACTGAGTCTTGTTTCTGTTATGATTTATCTTTAGTAATAAAAGCTTCTTCAGTTTACATAGTATTTGCCAACTTCTTTGTGATATGTCTTGTTTACAGAGATCGGAAGTGAAGCCTAAGCAAATGTATTTTAGACTTCGTCTCAAAATGAATGGAACATTCCAATTAGTAAATGACTAATATCAAATGTTAAGTGACTCACCAACTCAAAGATCTACAGACGAAAGTTAACAGGTTGGTAGACGAGGTTGTTGAGACAGGATTTCAAATGGGTACAAAGGAAATAGAGATAATGAAGATATCGAACCAGCAACAAGCACCAATCACCATTAATGCGAGAAATCTAAAAAGTCATCTCTTTCACTTATCTGGACAGGCTTCAACTAATAGTGGAACGGATCAAGATGTCAAAACCAAGCAGGATTGGGAAAGTAAGACAGACCTTTATTACTGTGAAATCAAGGTGGAATAAGATCCGAATTTTCATCAGTGACGTCAAGTCAGTTCTGCTGTATGATTCAGGAACTCGGCACACACGTTATCAAGGGCCTTTCAACAGCCCACTGCATATTTTAATAACAACTGCCTTCTCTTGCTTGATGGGGAAAATTAGATAGTCGATAAGAAAGAATAAGCAACAAAGAAACTCTAGCCACGAACTAACCAAAAACTTATTACCGAACAAATACGCAAAAGCGATTGCATAAGAATTAAACGTAGGGGCCAGGTACTCGAGTAGAAGGCAAGTCGGTATCCATGGGTGACATAGTAGCGATCGAGTGAGTAGGAAATGAAATCTCATGGGTATTCATCAACCTCATGGGACAAAATGAAGCGGAGATCTTCAGCTGTAGCTTTATAGCCTACTCGGAAACCATGGGAATAATAATAATTATCATCAGGGACCCTTCATTAATTCAACATATGGTGAATGCAACACAAGAGGAATAAATAAACGGTAGTACTATGCTCATATTATCATAATGATGGGTTAATTTGCAAATTTGTTTTAACACATTTTACTTCAGAATGTGTACTTCAGGCTGCCACTGAAAATCTAACCTAATGTATACAAAACATGCGAGGAAGTATCATGATGACAGCATTTAGAAAATGTCATAAAGTATAGAGATCCATCTCATGTCAATGTCTACCTACACTGCTAATATAAATTCTATGGTGAATAAACTGCGAATTAGTCATAACTTCAATTGATTTCAAATATTTAAGAGGAGAAAATCATTTTTGTCGGTAAATAATATTACATCACCATTGTGTAAATACACACATTGGTTTCTATATATATCCATATATATATATATATATATACTCAGCTGTATATGTGCATATACTCACATAAGCACCTCTGAAAGATGAGTAGAAATTTTAGTTTATTTTTTACGCGAACTTGAGGTAAAGTTTAAAACCGTTAAAAAAATTGCTGCAATCTCGATTATTTTTAATGGCTTAGATTAGCTTTCCAGTGTAAGATTGTAGGAAATTAAATGAAGGTATATTTCTCCACTGGTCGTTCAATCCAAAAATCAGTATACTGCAAATCAACATGAACTGGATGGTTTATTAGCTTCCAGAGCTTAGTTTCACGGATAAGAATGGAAAATTAGGAGGCACCCTATACTCAAGGATTTGAAGAATTTGTTAGTAAGATAAAACAGATATCGATTAAAATCACCACGTGACACCATACTGGAAAACAGATTTCTACCCATGGAAGAAAAGACTCCGTCTCCGAGAGCTGTGACGGTTCCTGAGAAAACTCTCTTCATGAACCTAGAATTCAAAGATAACACTGATGAAGATATTCTTAGGAACCGAATTTCTAAATGTCTGAAGAAGACATTTCAGGCAACCGCCTTACGAATCACATTCTCCAGTAGACAGTTGATCCAGTAAAGCGTTAGGGATAATCCTTTTTGGCCACCTTTGTGTGCATTGATCAGTTTATTTGTTCTTGTGGAGCAAAGTATATCAGCCGAACGCAGTGTCAAGTCCGCAAACTTGTTCTGGAGCACAATCCAGTGTGGCAAACAGGAGGGGTAAAGAAGAATATCAGTAGTTCTATCCACAAACATTTTGTCAACTCTGGACTTCAGGTACCTTCGCATGACTGATTCACATTGCTACACAGAGTCCCTCAATGGTGCACCAGAGGATTCCGAATACGCCATCTATACATTGCTGAATGATTGACTATTCGGGATCTGAAACCTGGCCTCTATGTTGAAAAGCACTACATACATTCACTCGCCTTACCATGGCCACAGCAATTTCCCTACTATACTCCTACTTCATTTTACTGCCTGAATTAACCAACATTATTATCATGCGTCGTTACGGTTTATCAGTAACATCTTATTTTCATACAGATTTTATGTAAACTCTTTACCGTCTTTCCACTAGTTTTTATCCCCTGTATGTAGTTACAATGATTAGTCATTTCCAACACTTATTAAGTCATTTCAACTTCTGCCTCCGTCCCCTTCTAGATTGCACTTCACATTGTCTAATACATTTTGCGCAACAAATTTACCGGTATCTAATCAATCTTATGAATTCTTTGTTAATTAAAATTGCGATTGTGCAATTCTTGAAAGTAATTCGTCAAGAAGAAAATTTTTGTTCGTCTTCTACACCTTTTTTTTTCTTATAATCAATATCATCTTGGTATTGGTAATATATTACAGAAAACTGGACAGCAGTTCACTCCCTAATTTGGGGCTTTTACTCACCAAACTCCGATAGCCACACCAGGGGTCGAACCTTAGACTTGAAAATTCAGCTACATTTTCGGAATCCAATGACAAATAAATTCTAGCCTAAAATATCTGCGTTTGGTCTCCGTGAGGGGTTATGGTTGTGTTCTACTGAAAAGTTCCAGACTAGGACGAAACGGCTGTCTTAACAATACGTTTTCTCAGATCAACTGGTTATCAGTGGATGGCTAAACTTATACGCTCCCCTTATAAGGCAGCCATTTTTTTCAGAATCACTTGATCGTAATATTTTAAAGTTTATCTTAAATAAGTATTAATAAGTTGTTTATCCCTATAGATATTAATTTGGAATGCAAGCCTAGTCATAGTTCTTTACTAAATTTACTTTGAAGTTATAATTTCGGCATTTCTGTGTTCTGCAATTAAAAGTGTTCTCTGAGCTGGTTGGTTTAATCGCGAAGCTTTAATTGCAAATCATCCACCTGAGCTACAAATCTTCTCTATTATTTCTGTGTTCAATAAATCATTTTTGTCCAAAAAGTAATAACATTTATGAAAAAAACTACACCTTGTCTAATTAGTGATTTAGGGCACACCGACCTCTAAGTCAGAGGAAGGATCACAACCAGTATGGTAATTTTTTAATATATTAAAGTTACAATAGTCACTTGTCTATTCACACATATTAGGAATTGGCAACAACTTTGTAAGAATAAAAATGTGGAATTCATCTGGTAAATACACATGCATGTACACATGTAGGCTGAAAAAAGAGTACTTACCCCAATATAGCTCCCCATGCCCAAGGCCATCCAATAAAAAGGTGACTAAACAGCATAAGTGATGCTGCTTCAGAAAGACATGGTATGAATGCCAGACGAAATACACTACCGCACACTTGTTTCAATGCTTGTGGATCTAGGCCTAGACCAGCTCGAGTAAGGATTGTTGTCAAAGCAAGCTGTCGTAAAATACCAGATAAATCTGGATTCACTAAAAGAAGAGCCGCAAACTGAGTACGTGTATCATCTATATTAAAGGGATATTCTGAATCGGAAAATTGACTCATATTAGACGAAACAAGATCACTTCCTAAAGGATAACTTCCATTTGGTAGTTTTCCTGCATGAAAAATCCTTTGTGGAATCAAAAGACTACCAATATTTCTCAGAAATAAACCGCCAAGTAGCATACCTGTTGTCAATTGAGGAAGAAAATATGAAAAGCATTGATTATTACCTCACAAACAATTTTTACTTTATAAATAAACAGATTTGTCGGGGAAAATGATTCATATACTTAAAAGATATCTGGTTGCATGCTACTTCAAATATGATCATCAAGATGAGAATTAAATCAAAATTAGGTTAGGTAAATCATCAATGCAATCAGGCGAAATGTAGGTTAGCATTAAATAATTATGTCAAAATTTCAACTGACGCAAAGAAGCTACTGTGACTGCTAGAGATTTTCGTACCGTTTAACCGCTGAATATTTATTGATATAAAAATTTCGGGTATCATTTAATAGGTGTTTTCATGAGTGATTCTGCAATTTTTACAGTACTTTATGTTGAACTTCCGAAATAAAGGATTCGGATTTTCACTACTAGTGTCTCTTCAGTACTTCCAAATGGTTCATAATATTGTTGCGCATGTTACCAAAAGAACTTTCAACAGGCTTCAAACTTTTATCAACAGTTTTCTTTGCTCCATAATGAAGATGTGATGGCCGGTTGAAAGGATTAGCAACAAGGAACTCTGTCAGTCAATGTACCAGCTAAAGATCTGTTGACTAATGTATGTGCAGAATGAAATGTAGATAGATAGAACACACGCTAAAGGGATCACTGAGTGACATCAGTGTCCAGACCCTTGAGTGGAACCCAACTTGGATGCGACAAGTTGGGCTTCCGAGAGTGATATAGAGGAGATCATGTGATGAGGAGATGAAGGTTCATGGACAGTCATGGAGAACAGGATGAAATGGAGATGTGCTGTTGAACCCTTATATTCCACTAAGAATCTAAAGAGGATATTAATAAATAATTAAATAAGATGTTAAATGTCATTCACCCTTACAAACTATACTGCCAGAAACAGACTATTTCTAGCATACTGTTTGTTGACAATATCGTATTTATTCCTTAAAATACAAAAATCAGTCGCCCATAACGCTTCCGATTCCTATTCACTTCATGGAATTATTCTCTCACTTCAGCTTATTAACCTTATTTTAGGATGTATGTATATTCTTTACTGAAGCTTTATTTTTTTAAAATTTGAAGTACCTCATCAAAATTTCTACTTGCATTCAACCGCAAGAAGTTGTTTACATAATTATTATTTTGACATAAAAACAAAAGGAAAAAACTTTGGTATATTGCTACTCACTACAAAAGGACTGGATAACAATGAAGTATGCCTTAAAAGTGACAAGAAATACAATAAGCAATAAGGTATTTGACTGCATCACCAGCTTAATCAGATGTTAATGATGCTACTGATTAGCCTTCAGCACGTTTAAAAACAAAATTTAGTTATATGTATACATATATATATACATTACTATTCTCTGCATTTCCGGTGCTATTAAAGTGAATATCGCCTTCACTCAGCATCAGCACTTAGCATCAAAAATAAGATCCGGATTTTCAACTCCAATGTGAAGTCAGTGCTACCATACGGATCAGAGACTTGCACTGCGCGTCATAAAGAGCATCTCAAACAAAATACAGACCTTCATTAACAGTTGTCTTCACTCAATACTCAAGATCAGACGGCCAGAAAAGATCAGCAACAGGGATCTTTGGGAGCGAACCAACCAGGAACCGATTGTGAAACAAATAGGCAGGAAGAAATGTAGATGGATTGGCCATACTCTGAGGAAACCATCAAGTGACATCACTAGACAAGCCATTGCTCGAGTGGAACCCGAAAGGGAAGCGGTGAGTTGGTCGTCAGTGCAAGGGTGACTTGGAGGAGGTCATGTGAAGAAGAGATGAAAACGTGTGGGCAGACTTGGAGCCAGGTGAAAACTCTAGCAGAGAACCGAACGCAATGAAGACTCACGGCCGAAGCCTTATGTTCGTCTAGGAATTAAAGGAAACAATAATAAATAATAATCTCCTTCATTTGATCTATTTTTTTATTTGTTTTATTTTTGATCCCCTATTCTGTCTGACTTTATGATCATTCTGGAAACAACGAAAAAACACGTTATTTCCACTGACTGACAGTGAGTTAGCGTTCTTCGCATATTCAATAGTAAAGAGTAGAGATTACCGAAAATATTTCGATATTAGTATAAAAATATTCGAGTAAGCAGTTTAGCGCATTTATTCATTTTTTTTGCTTAATTTCTACCTTAGAAAGTCGAAGTTTTTCCTCTGGGATTCTTCTTCCTTAATTAATAATGGTGTAGTAAATATCATCCGTGTTTTACTCTATTAAACTCGGAGTTAAGGTATGCATAAGAAATTATCAGATAATAAATGTTTCTTTTTAAGTCATACCAGGTTATTGAAAAACATAAGATTGTAAACAGATCATTGGTTAGGAAAACATTCTAATGAGATTCTAAGGGTGAAAGACTTAGCGATATTTTGCATAACGCCAGTTGAAAGTCATTATAGATAAACGTTGAAATTAATATTTACTTACTGTGTGAATTAAGACAAATGTTCTTAATTAGCTTTAAATGGGATCAAAATAAATTGGTGTTGTGTTGGGAAGATTTTTAGAAGGATCTTTATAGTTTAGACTGTAGGTGTTTTCGCTTAGTTCTAACTAAAGAATTGCTTAATGAAGCGAATGTCACAACCAGTGAAGTTGTGAGGTGATTACGTCATTGCCTAGTTTCATACAATCCCTCCCCTATAATTATCTATTTAATCCTGCATCTACCTGACTTTAGATGTAACTGATTACATAACAGATGGCATTTAAATATAAGTGTATATATATGCACTGTTTGTTTTTTTCATATCTTGATGTGTTATGTAAAAGATCATAACTCCCAGGAATACAGGTGAATTTAGCTAAAACATAGTAAAAAGAAACCAGCCAGTGCACCGTAGGTATGTATATATTCAACCTCACATCAAATCTGGTAATTAACATCTGAATAAAAGTTTGAAATAAATTTTAAGAAAAGGTCGAATAAACAAAGAATGCTGATACTGTTCTCTCTTAGGTCTACGGAAACTTAATAAATGTGCATTGGTTGAATCACATGATTTGTTCATGAATTCCTATTTTTGTACACACACACACACTTTATATATATATATATATAAAAGATCTGTTTATTCCTTCACGTTCACCAGTGGAACATGGGGCTTCAAGCTAGTGGCTTGAAGCTTCTGTAGCAGTGTTTATTTTACAGGATGGGGCTGCTAGTCCCATGCCCAACCTTCCCTCTTTACCAGCTTTTATTTCTGGCTTAGCGAGGTAAAGGAGTGTGTCGGCCGGGGATCGAACCCCGGACCATGTACAAGGTTGGCGAGCGTCCTAACCGCTATGCCACCGACGCTTTTAAAGGTTTTACCAGTTGAAAATTAGTTCACAGATATAGAGATTTCAGATGATAGGAAATGAAAATGAATAATAAATGTAAGATGATGCTTCGTACTTATTAACTGACGTAAGCAACTGGAAACCAATCACGTCAATCAGTAGTTCTTTTTAGCCAGACCAAAGTGATCTAGACAAGGGATGGCTACTTCATCGGAGGTGTATTCAGTGTGCCTCGGATCACACAGGCGAATCACTTCAAACCACCCGAATTCTGGTTATCTAATGGCGAGAAGTGCTAACACACTGAATCAGATTTGTGGTTTGCTAATTACACAGATATAACCTCTTCGCCTTAATAGCTAATGAGGATTCCAGTGGTTTGAAGTGATTCACCTCTCTGAGCTGATCAAAATCAGGTATACTACTGATGGGCAAAACTGTTGTCTGGTTTTCAGATCATTTCGTTTTGATTAACAAGGTCACGTGCTGTGATCTGAACAATTTCGGTTTCCATAGAAAAAATATGATGAAAATTCACCTCGATGTGTCTAATTTGCTGACAGCTAATTCGATTGGCATTTTGATGGTTATCATATATAACAATAATTTATTACATAACTTGATAGTTTCATAATTTTCCACAGATTCGAAAGTTATCATGAGACGTTATTTCAATAGGCGAGTGGAGCACAAAAACTGAAATTAAAAATTTGAGAATAACACACCCCAACTAAGTAATTTAGAAAATTTAACCTTCAATGATAGTCACACAACTGCTCACAAGTTGATACCTACAGGTCTATGGGGAATTCAGATGTAAAAACAACTACATGACTCAAGAAAACTGCATAAAACTAGAATAGAAAGCTTTCGGGCAGTCGTTGAGTCAGTGAAAAGTGATAGCAGAGAATTAAATGCAAATATGATGTACCACTGGTGCCCTATGTCCCCTATTGGGAAACCTTGGAATAGTGATGATGATAATAATAGAGCAGAACTTGTGTCTAATGTTTTTGCAATTTGAAAAGTTCGAGTTCTTTCAAAGCGTTATATTTCCTCAAGATTATCAAACATTCTTAGCATACTCATTAGTGTATATATTCAAGGTGAAAACAAGACATAGATAAAAGTGTCTTCAGTCAATCATTTTATCCACTGTCTACTAATCGATTGGAAACTGTTCCTTAAATATATATGTGTATATATTTAATGAAATAACTTCTATTGATTAGAAGTTATTACAGAAAATAAAATGAAGTATTTCGGAGAGCAAGTGCTTTAATTGAATTTACCACCTGTCTTAATAAAACAAAAGGAAGAAAATTCTTTTTATAATTTTTTTACACTATCTATTCTCTACTCTTTCTTTCTTCTCTTTCATGTTCTTGTCACTGTTGTTAAGATAATAATATACAAAGAAGAAATAAGCATAATTATTCATCTAATTATATACATATGTATATATTTATATATGCATATACATATATAAATTTATTAGCAAATAAGTAACTGCAACTAATTGAATTTCATATTTTCTCTTCTAAGTTTTCATTTTTTTCGCTCCTTTTGAAGAAGATTTAGGCTACCTACAAGGAAAGACTTAGCAGGAGGACGAGGAAGAGGAGAAAGAAAGAATGTAATCCATTTGTGTGCATCCTTTTGCCTTTTATGGCTTCA